GGGGTTGGAAAAATGTCTGTAGGACCTAGAACTAAGAGAATCTTTATTCCTTTGGAGAAGGAAAGCACAGATGTTTACACCAAACTCATATTGGTCATGGGTGACAAGGGTGGAATTATGCAAAGCAGAGTGAGGGGTCAGAAGGGTGATCCATAGGAAGTGACTTGCTTCTGCATTTGTCCAGTTAACAATTGGGAACGTTTATATGTAAACAGCCCTGCTGATCCTCTGTGATGGGATTTAAGATTCCAGCACTCATTGAAGAGTAGCTTTCATTGTTTTTGGCTTGTAGCTTGTTATTGATTAACCTCTTCCCCTTGTTCTTCTCTGTCCCCTTAGATTAAGGACATCTCAGAAATTCTTTTATCACATGTAAAAAATTTACATGAAATAAATTCATATGCTTTTGTCTTTGTTGGTCTTTTATTATAGGGGCTTTAGCCACAAGTCTAAGAAAAGGTAAAGACGAGATGTTTGTCCTCCCCTATATTATGTAGGGGTGTGTGGGGTTCCAGAGACGCTGCCTCCTGATGTTATGGGGCTAGAGCCTTCTGTGAAACTGAGGCAGTGCAAAGTCCCCTCCAAGTCCCAATTCTTGGGATCAGGCCAGAAAGACTTCAGATCGTGTTGCTCAGAGTTACAGGAATGAGTTCATTACAAGGGAGAGTAAAGGGGAAAGGGGACCCTCTCAGAAGGTCTCTCTCAAAGGAGACAGTGGGTCCTCTCAGAGAGAAGAGGGATGGCATGTACGTCCTGTCCTCCGGTTTTCTAGGAGGTCCCAGGGAAGTTTCCAGAGAGTCTCGACCAGGTCCACCTGGTCCAGGATTTTTGATTGTTAGCAGCATGACATTAGACTTTCAAGTCCCCACTGCCATGACAACTCTAGGTCACTTTGGCCCATGTTGACCTAGTCTTGCAGCTTTTATGGTTAGGGGCAATTATCCTTATCTCCCCAAGTTCTGAGATCTGATCTGCTTCAGGGTAACTTGTGTTCTTCTTATCAGCATTTCAGGCCTACCTTTCTCCTGCAGATAACAGGTAGTTTCTGGAAGAATGTAGCATATCCTGTGGACTTAAGCCAGGCAGGGCTGCAGGTAAATTGCTTTTTTAAAAGAGAAAGTTGTGGGAGTCAACACATGGACCCATTTACAGAATTAGTCCCTTAAGCTCATATTCCTACCACTCAATGTCTGTCTGTCCCCTATCACTGATACTTTTTTTTTTTTTGGGTACCAGGGATTGAACTCAGGGGCACTCAACCATTGAGCCACATCCCTATCCCTATTTTTTATTTGATTTAGAGACAGGGTCTCATTGAGTTGCTCAGTGCCTCTCTTGCTGGGGCTGGCTTTGAACTTGTGATCCTCCTGCCACAGCCTCCCAAGCTGCTGGGATTACAGGCTTGTGCCACTGTGCCCCCAGGCCTCACTGATACTTTAAATAAATTCTTTAATAAGTGCCTTGGAACATGGCCTAGGTCTGAGGGCCCTTGAAGGCAACCCGTAGTGTTGGATCTCCCCACTCCTCCTCTGCTTTCTCCCACTGCTGCCCACCAGTGATCCATGTTGCACCCGACACATGCAACAGCACACCTCATAGTTCTCTCTTAGCTTGAGAGTTTCCATTTTCAGTTGCAATGTCATTTGGAATGGTAAGGATTCCCATAGAAATTGCATTCTTGGTGGTCAGCCCTAAGAGATCTCAGAATTTCTTATGTGAGCAGCTCTTTTTGGGGAGGTTTGCAAGCCATTTATGAAGTGTATAGGTTTGCATCCTATTTACATGTCTGATTTGCTTTTGCTTAGGCTATTTCTAAATAACATTTTTATTCCTTAAGTGAGGATTGGGATAGAGGAAAGGGAAACCCAAGCTTCAAATGGCGTGGAAAAACCAGCCCTTTATCACCACTCTTCTATATGATAATTTACCTATGAATATTTGAAAGTTGTTTCCCGTTACATTTTCTTATCATTAGTGGCCCATCTTTTCTGCTCCCCTTCCCCTTTTTCATTTATTGCCCTAGTTGGCTGTATCCACTGGCTTCCTAGGGAAATAAAGAATCAGCAGAAGCTGATTGGAATTTTTCAAACGCATAGAAACAGCAGGACACAAACACTATGAGTGGGTGTGCCCCTCTATGACAGTGCAGTGGCTTGCATCAGTTGAGAGAGAGAGAGAGAGAGAGAGAGAGAGAGAGAGAGAGAGAGAGAGAGAATATGAATTTTCCCTTCTCCCTGATTATTGCCCACTAATTACCCCCTCCCCAGAACTAATTTCCCATCAAAATCTTGAGGGTGAAAGTGGTAGGTTAGTTAGAGGTTTTAAGTAAGTGGTTTACTACCATTGCTCATAAGCAGAGATTAAAATGCAAATCCTCTGGCTCAGTAGGTAGGATGGGGATATGAAGTATTCTTTTGTTGGGGGCCGGATGGGGATTGGGGGGGTGGAATCCACAACAGACTAGTAATCAAGGCTCATCAGTGGGAATTGCTGCATTCCTAGGCTCTCAGGCAGCTTTGTGGAGTGCTGAATTTTGGGAAATGGTACCAGGACACTAGAGGAAAGGACTGGCTCTGCTGCCAATCTGTCCTGTGAGGTATGGAGAGTATTCCCAGGGATAGAAGGCTTCCACCCATTTGCAGCAGCCTCCTGCTTGACTGCATTTGAGTCAGGAGGAAAACTCCAGTCCTGCCCATGGGAGTGAGGGCGTGGGCCCCTAACCTGGGAAGGAATTGTCCCTGAGGGTCTGGGGGGCTATCATTCTTCAAAGAAAAATCAGTTGCTGCAGGTTCTCAGCTTCTGCTCAATCAAATGCATTCTGCAGCTGTGAATTTTCAGCTAACTTCAGACAGTCTAAAGATAATGATTTCTAAAGGGGTCATGGATAGATTTGAGTTGGAATTTAACATTAATATCATATGTACAGCATTTGCTTGCATCAAGAAATCAGACAAGGGTGATTTGTAGAAATTCTACAAAACTGGGGGAGAATTTTTGGCCTGGAATTATGTTGTCCAATCTGGTAATCCCTAGCCACCTAGGCGTAGTAAGCACTTAACATGTGGTTCTTCTGAATTAAATGTGCTATAAGGACAGTGTGTATTTAAGATTACAAAAGGAATGTAAAATAACGTATTAATAATTGTTTAATAGTGATTGTATATTGAAATAATGTTTTGGTTATTTTGTTTAAAAAGAATATAATAAAATTAATTTCACCTTTTTTTTCTTTCTTTGTTGCTATAAGAAACTTTAGTGGCTCAGATTGAATTTCTGTTGGACCCTGCTGAGCAGGTTTTATCCTGATTTTCCTGTTTACATAGGTGACTTTTTCCCACTAGATGAAGGAAAGGAATACTCTGTTCTTAAATTCTGAATACTTCTGGCTGGATATTTCCTTTCTTGGAGCCTGTAGGAGGTGGCAAGCAAATTTTTCCCACTAGAGGGAGATATATTACAATTTCAGGAAGTCTGGGATTAGCATGTCAACTGCTATTTATGAATATCCTTTTTTAAAAAGAAGAGACTAGCTCAAGTTTTTGCTTTGTTTCACTTGTGCATAATTTCAGTGTTTCTGGAGTTTGCATTTTGTGTAAGCGTGAGGCTGAAATAAAAGAGGGAATAGGCAGAGAGGTTTCCCACTCTCTCCAGAATGAATTCTGAGCTTTCTGTTACTTCTTTGTGGGATTGCAGTCACTTGTCTGTTGCCCATGGACTGTTTCCTTGGACTGGAGCCCAGGCACAATGCAAAACACACAATGTGGCCTTGGTGTAGCTGTAACAGAAAAGACCAGTGCCCCACTACACTTGCACGCCTGCTGTCATCATGCCCCTGTGTGACACCCCATGCATGTGGGATACACATCAATGGGTTCCTGGAGCTGTGATGTGGTTCCCTGGGCCAGCGTGCAACACCCTGTCCTTTCCTCTTGTTCTTTGGAGCAGTGTTGCCTGGGGTGTGGGCCTGGGGCTACTGCGTCCATCTAGTGCATGTGAGTCTGCCCCTCAATCCTACTCTGAAAAAGCAGCAGCATTTCATGATCATGCTTAGTGACCCCACCCTCTTTTGGTTTTTGCTTCTGGGTAGTTCCTTCTCAATTTTTGGAGTTTTTTTTTTTTAAATATTATTATTTCTAATTCTGATAGGCATAGAGTTTTCTTCCTTTCCTTGTCTATGTATTCCTTGTCCCTCTTTAATGAATCACAGCCATTCTGATGGCTTTGTCACTACGGTTGTACTGAGGACCCCTATGCCTTTATCTCTCCCTTAGGACATTCTTTGAGCTCCACCCCCACCCACTCCTCTGTCTCCTGGACATCACACAGGCCTCAAGGTTAGCTCTTATGTCCACTATCAAGGCACTACTCAGCCCAAGGCAGTTTCATATTTTCTGTTTGTGTCTCTTCCCCAGTGGACAGGACGCCCCCAGAGGCTGAGAGCTTTGCCAGTCAGATTCTTTTTCATTTTTTCATTCCTAGTATCTCACATGAGGTCTGGTTATTGCACACCCTTAAGAAGAATCGAAGATTTTGTTGTTTAAAAAAACAGATAAGCCATCATGTCATTAACTTAGGAACACATTCTGACCCTGATTTGATTCCGTTTTATTCTATCTTGTGAGCATTTTGTCCTAGAATCGTCATGATCACTATCATTTGGTGGCACCAGTCCTTATAGAAACAAATTTAATTACCTGTCCAACTGGGGAATTTGCACCAGCCTCCCCCAGTTTCCCTGTGTTGGACACTTTTCTCCTCTGATCCCCTCTCCTTCTGTGACCCTAATTACAAGTTGAAAGGGCCATTTCCACCAGCCCCATCCTGTATTTCCAAGAACTTAGATCCCAGAAAACCAGAAAGGAGGTCAAGGAGTGTGATGGGCTTGTGCCCCCACCCCGTCTGCTTTTGCAGGACATTCTCCAATTTCTTTTAGTGCCTTTGCTCTGTAGCCAACCCGTTTGTTTAGACTTGTGACTAATGGAGACTGTTTTTCTTGCCAGAGCATGAAGAGGAACTGGACCAGGAATTTGAGTTGGAGGCTGACGCTTTCTTTGGAGGACTAAAGAAGGTACAAAGTGGACCGATGGTGAATTTTCTCAACTTTCAAATCTAGTGTTTTGTATCACTTATATATTTGGAGTTTGCCAGGTACAGTATGGTATTCAGCAATAACCGGGAATAAAGTGCCTTCCTAGAGTAGAAATATGAGAGTGTCCGGCTGGATAAGGCACTCTCCATGGTTATTTTCTTGTTCTCGGCCTCTTCTTAAGGCACCAGAAATCTGGTTATGTAACCTTATTGGTCAGTACAATTTTCACTTGGGTCCAGCTCAGGAAGTCCCGTCTTGATCTAGCTGTATCTATTAGAATCAACCATGGCCCTGGGCACTCCCTGTGCCTGCCCTTGACAACTGTGAGAATGTCCTCCTTCAGCCCCTCAGGGGCCCCGCTGTGCCCGCTGTGGTGGAGCATGCGGGGAATGGCCACCCCTTTCTTCCTCCCCTGCCCTGGTGGAGGAATGGCTCCTTTGTCTTTTGCTGCAGTTTATTTTGTAGCAGGCAGGATGGCCATTGTTCCGTCAGACCTTTTGATACGACAGGTAGCACTTCCGTGCTAGAGAATGTCGTAGGTGGGCACCAGAACCTCCCCTAAGTAGACCCCTCAGTCTTTCCATCAGCACCTTTTTTCCCTGAAATTCTTCTCATTCTTCCCTTGTAAGTTTCCCAGGAACCTGTTTTAATACTGACTTGGATATCAAGAGGTCCATAGCCCAGCTCTTGGTTTGAGGTTCAGGTCAAAGGTCAAATCCAGTTATGAGCTAGGTAGTTGTTTTCTGTTTCAATGTTCTTGTTTTTTTTTTTTTTTTGGTACTGGGGATTAAACCCAGGTGGTGCACTTAGCCACTGAGCCACATCCCCAGACCTTTTTTTGTGTGTTTTATATATAGAGAGAGTCTCTGTGAATTTCTTAGGGCCTTGCTAAGTTACTGAGGCTAGCTTTGAACTTGTGATCCTCTTGTCTCAGCCTCCACATCTGCTAGGGTTCCAGATGTGGGCCACTATACCCAGCTTCAAAATGTTTTAAAAATGATATCAAAGCACTGCTTTTTACCACTTCTACTCTAAGTATATGGTATAATGGGGTGGCCTGCAACCTCACAGAGTAGGTTCCTGCTCAGGAGGTGTGAGCTGCCTAGGAAAATTAAAAAGTCTGAAATAATTAGTAAGAAAAAAAGACCAAGCCAGAAATTAGCTATAAAAAGAGGAGCAGCTGATGGGTCTTCCAGTCCAGATAGGGGCTGGAACTGAACAACTAAAAAAAAGGCTCCTATTCTGTATTTAAGGGGGAGTCCGTCAAAGGCAGGGACAAGGTTTCAGCAGGAGGAGTCTTGGTTTGGAGCTTGCTTTGCAATTGTGGCAGGGGTCTTGCAGTAAACAGGCTGATGGGCATTTGGGCAAGCCGCACCCATCTCTGGGAAGCTGTGTGGCTCCACCCAGTCACTCCCACCTATGTAGCTATGCTAGAACTTCAGCGGTGAGCTAGGTAGGACCCCACATGAACCAGGCATTTTCAAACCAGTGGATTCCTACAGGGAGTTCCTAATACCAGGCTTTCCTGCCTAAACGGCTCCAACATTGCTTTAGTCCATGCACGGTTCATGGATGGCCCCCGGCATACCAGATATCGTTTCAATCATCTTTTGTGGGCTGGCCTGAGACATGAAATAATGCGTACAGTTCTGAGCATCCTACTTATCAATGAACTTTTGGAGGACAATTCATCTCAGAGTTGGGCACTGCCTGTCCTGCTGTTTTTCTCCCTTGACAGTTGCCAATCTTGCTGAGTTGTTACAAGTTTACTTCAATTTCCATTTTGGTTTGCTGGGGTGGTCTGTCCCTCATCCAGCTCTGGCTCTATACAGAGGCGGTATGTTTGACGTAAGGCCCATGTTTATCTGGTACTAGGAGGAGAGCCCTGTATTGCACGGGGTGCTCTTCCTGGCTTTTATTGTTCTATCCCTGGACTATTTCCATGAAAAATTGGATGTAAATTGAATTTGCAATCATGGCATCCTTTTGTAGATGTTTCTTGTTCACACAGCCCTCTCATAGTAAGAAGGGGAGGTTGGTAGGTTTGTGCCCATTTCAGAGATGAGGAAACTTGGGAAGTTTCTGTCAGGGTGGAATTTGGGATGTAACAGGAAATGACCCTCATGACTCTCTTTAGAGATAAAACACTATTGAATCTCTGATGATAACAACAACAAAACACAGTGATTTTTTTTTCCCTGTGTAGTCACAATTCTGGCATTTCAGATAATACTGAATAACATAGATTTTTTTTCTTTTTTTTTGCCAGGGTCCAAAATAAGCAAACTGATTTTAGAACAAGAAACTTTTAGCTGAAGAGATGCTATTGTGAGGTAGTATGAGAACATGAACACAGGGTCAGGCTCTGACAAGTTTTTGAGCTGTGGCCGGATTTCATTGTCAAGGGCAGGCTCAGCCCAGGGTGTGCTGCTATTTCTAGACAAAGGGGCTTTGTGTTCACTGACTTCCTGCCTCCCACCAAATTCCATTAGTCCAGCTGCCTGACTCCCCCTAAGGCTCTAGAGTTCTGGGGAGTTGATCTCTCCCCAGCCATTCTCTTTGGTGGCCCTCGTAAGAGGCCAGGGGTGTTGACAGTCAGGCCCACCCTGCCTTCGTGAAAAAAAAAAACCACACACACACACACAAGGCACAGATACATGTGCATGGGAGCCCTAAGGACTACGTCCTTTGCCATCCCAACACATCTTTCTCTTTCCCTCTATCCATGTGACAATTTATCCCTCGGCCCGGGGCTACTGAGCACCTGTTTTCTCATTCGTTTACATTTCATGTGGGTGGGTGGTTTGGAGTCCTAGAGTTTAGAGAGAAAATGACGGGTCCTGGTGGGTATCCAACAAATGAAGGAAATTGATACCACGCCCTGAGGTTCTAGATGCTCCTCACTGAATATTTCCCATTTTGGAGGCTTTAACAGGCGGCAAGCAAATGCTCCTTTAGTCTGAATTCTAATCAAAGGAAAATGTTAAGTGTGGACAGAAGAGGAATCGTGACCTTAATAAGAAAGCTCGTGTTCTCCAGCCAGCCCGTTCCTTGCCCATGAGTCTATGGCTGGCTGAACCTCAGCGCCACGGACATTTGGGACCAGAAGATTCTTCTTTTGGGGAGTTGCTCTGTACCTTGTAGGATGCATGACATCCCTGGACTCTCCTAGTAAATGCCAATCAGATTGTATTTCCCCTGTCTTGACCGTTAAGAATGTCACCAGGCGCTGCCAAAGCCTCCCAGGGGGCGGGATCACCCACTTGCGAGAACAGCTGTTCTATCCAGCAGTGAAGGGCTTTGCCCCGGTCCCTTGGTCATGTTGACTTGACATTCTCACCTCTGCCCATCCTGTTTCCTCATCTGGAGGTGTCTCCCCTCTTCCCTTTCTGGCCCTTACACTTCAGATCTCACCTGGGTTTGCCCGTCAAGGATGTGTTGCCTGAACCTCAAAGGTGTGCTTAGCCCCCAACCCTTCCCTACCTCTCTCTATACTTCCTTCCACAGCTTTTAATGAAGGTGTTTCTGTGTCTAAGTTCATGTTGGGAACAGCAGTGAATCAGAGAGACAAGGTTCCATGCTAGTGTCTCCTAGTGGGGACAGACCAACAACAGATAAATGGGCAAATGTAGGCTGGGCAAGGTGGTGCTTGCCTGTAATCCCAGCAACTCAGGAGACTGAGGCAGGAAGATCTCAAATTTGAGGCCAGTCTAAGACCCTATCTCAAAATTAGAAACACCCCCCCCCCAAAAAAAGAGCCTCCACAAACAAGCAAACAAATAAACAAATAAAACAACCAGGGATGGGAATGTAGGTTAGTGGTAAAGTGCCCCTGGGTTCAGTTTCTAGTACCATTTTAAAAAAATGTGCAAATGTAACAGCCACAGATTGAGCTAAATGGTACAAAGGTGTTCTAATCCATTTACATACTATAGCAAAATACCTGAGGTAGGCTATTTTATAAAGAAAAGAGGCTTATTTTGGCTCACAGTTCTTTAGGTGCAAGGTTGAGAGGCCTGAACCTCAACACCTGGGACAACACCTTCTGGGTGCCCATCGGAGCAACCTTCTTGCTGTCAGGGTGAGTCCCAAGGTGGCACAGGGCATCACACAGCAAGGGACAGTGAGAGCTCATGTGTCTGTGTGGTCTCTCTTCTTATAGAATGACCTAATGACCTTTTTCCTAAGGTCCTCTCTAAACACCAGAGTTGGATTAAGCTTCCACCCTCTTCATACCTCATGGTGGGAATTAAATTTCAACACTTGAAACTTTGGGGGACATACTCATCTAGATCCAAATCATAGCAGAAGGAAATAAACAGGCTATTGTGATAATGATGCTTTGGTCGAATGCCCTATTATTATAAGGTGGCTGGTAAAGTGTCATTTTGTATTAGCCATTCCCACTAGACTGTCAGTCTCCCAGGCAGGGCTGGAATTTAATAATTTCTGTATCTTCTATGCCTGGGACAGAGTAGATGAGTATTTTAATGAAGCTATCTGCAGGAAAGAGTGGATGCTTTGAAGTGAAATGCATCAATCCCAAATGCGGGCAGACAGACCGACAGACACGTAGGTAAATGCTAGGTGGACAGTGTTCATATCACAGCAGGAGAGACCATGTGAGCACCTCCTGCTGCTGGGAGGAGGAGGTCGACCTTCTGTCCAGCTCATGTGTAGGATTTGGCCAGATCTCCTCAGTAGAGGAGACACTAATTTGGGGTTGTGGGTGGGGCAGGTCACCATGATTGGAAAAGGGAAGGGCACATTGGGGATATGCAGGTGCCAGGTGCAGCTGCATTTAGGACAGGGAAAGGGGGCTGGGCCCTACCATGGACCTCCATGTGTCAGTGATGGTAGGATTTGGAAGATCACAGTCCACATCAGGATGCCTTCCAGAGACCTTGTGTAGTTATGGCTGTCGGGCTTCTCTGAGGTCTGATCATCTCGTCTGCTCTCCCAGGCCCTAAGAGGGCATG